GCTGAGCCGACAAACAGCTGATCAGGTGTTTGTCGGCTCAGCACGGCAGCCATTTAAAGGTAAATGTAGTCGCGATTATTTCAATTGCAGCTTCGTTTCCCTTTGCCGATCAGCCTAATTTACATAGTTCCATCGATGGAGCAATGTAGTTTAAACACACCCTTACATTCAACAGTGGGGAGCAACAAAGTGTCCTTGTCATTTGGGCCACCAAGAATGGAAATTTTGGGATGAGGTGCTTCCTGTCGTGCTGCACCCTGGGCAGTGGAGTTCACCGCTGTGACCAGAATGGCCAACTGGGGCATTGTGGGACAGTTTCTGGAGGCCAGTTATAGTCGATATCTATGCCCAAGCAGTTCGAGGGAATAATATCGACTGTCCTATGTCACTCAGAGGAGGGGCGGGGTGTTATCTAATGATTGTGCCCAGGCATTTGTGTGAAGACACTTGGACAGCAAAGTCGACGTAGGCAGGCCCTGTGCCCTCGGTTCCCACTTTTTTTTATCCCAAATCCAATCAATCTTGTACATTTCCAAAATCTGCTCAGTTTAAACAGCTAAAAATAAATATCAAGAACAACAGAAAAAAATGCAGGATTTTGCACATTTTTGCCCTGGAGATTGAATTCTCCGGAGCAGCAGCTTGCTTGATTAACACAGTCAAGTTCAGGAGATTTAACTGAGTCTTTGAATCAAAGGCCCTATATTGGCATATGGCTCGGATGGGAAATAAGGGTTAGATTTCTACTTGGGAAGCAGGTGGTGTGGGGGAGCCAGGCAAAGAGCAAGAATCAGCTAGAGAGTCCCAGTCCCAAATCAATCTCCATTGTCTGAAGCTTTCTAACTCTGAGACCAACAACAGAAAGGTCGAAAGAGGTAACCCAAAAGGTTGTACCAGATCTGCCACCGGGCACTAGCAACAGGTGTTGTTATCGCGGAGCAGAAGTGGCTGCTGAAGATCCCATAGAAAATTTTGAAATTGACAAGGCAGACTGTTGAAAACGATATCGGGGACAAGGTACGTTATCGTATTGCATTGTAAAACATAAGTATGCGCTACAGACATATTGAGATACGTTATCATATCGCATTGCAAAACATAAGTATGCGCTACAGACATATTGAGGAACAACATCAAAAATCCCCTTTCTCTGAGGCTAGCTCTAGACAACAGGCTTCTTTTGGAGGAAGCTTTTTCCGTAGAGATCTTCCAAAAAAAACTTCTTCTGAAAGAGAGCCTCCCCACTGCCAAAGCTCGTCGAAAAAGTGATCTGCTTTTTTGAAAAAGAGCGTCCACACTGAATGGACACTCTCTCGCATTTAAGCTGTGATTACTATTTACGATGGGTGGAATGGCCACCAGAGCCCCTGTGCTTTTTCCTCTTTCCTCTTTTTCCGAAAGAACTTCCTCTTCCCCATCCACACATGGCTTTTTCTGAAAGAGCTCTTTCCCAAAACGGCTGCTTCCTCGTGGAAAGAGGTTTACCAATATCAGAAAAAACCCTTTGTTCTTTCAATTTTTTTGGAAAGAACACGATTGCAGAGTGGACGTAAGTGAAGTTGTTCTGACAAAACTTTGTAGTGTAGACCTACCCTGGGAAATGTAGTGACAGAGTAGTGCAACATGACACGGAAATTGGAAATTGTGCCAAAAGGTGTGCATAGTTCTCTGATGATGTACAATTTACTAGATAATTTGTTGGATAAATATTGAGGGGATACATTAACCAGATGACAGTAAGAAAATATAGGAGAACACAGATTAAAAAAAAGGCTGAAAGCTGGAGAAACGCTGGACCAGAAACCAACATTGAAGACTAATGAACAAGACCAGAAGATCCCAGGAAGTGAAAACTATTCTGGAAGAAGAAACCACTTGTTCCTTGAATGTGGTAAATTGGGCCTATGTACCTCTTCTGTCTTTCCTATTGTTACTCATCAGGCCGAAATTTGTCCAGACACTATAAATAACACTAATTCTGTATGTAATCATATTGAATAAAACGCACACAGATTAAGCCATAATGTGGGATCCATGACTCAGTTTCCCCTCGTAAACGCACAGCAACCACTCACACAATTTGATACAACAGGAAAAATTACACATAAATTCCTGCGCCTCTGCTTCATTCAATAATTTAGCAAACGTGTCACATTTGTGTAGCAATATGCAAAGCAACTGACATTTCAGCGAAGACAGAGGTGTTCGGGTAGTTTATAAGCCATTCTATGAATACCTGGCAGTTACACGAGCTATGTTAACACATGTTATTTCTACGTGGCTCATTCCCTCTTCCTACCCTAGATCCCCACTATCTCCTATCACTTACGCTGTATCACAAACGGATACAAAACCTGTCCAAGTCAAGAGGCTTTAATTCTATGGCTTGGCAACCACTTGCAGAGAACGTTCCCGGACCAGGGCCTGCAATCCTACATCCCAAAAAAGATAAGGAAGGTAAAGGCTCAGAGTAAGACATTAAGGAACAGAGATGAGCAGACCATCTGTGTTAGCATGACAGGTGAAGAGTTTTAAAACTTGAGTTCCTCCTACTGGCAATGTGTAAATTTTCCATTTGAGAGATGAATTTAACAAAGATTCACAGGAACCCTTCCTAAACCGTGAGAGTCAGGGCCACCAATTTTGGCAAGCTGCCTCCTCTTACCCTAACTTAAACCTTGATCAGTCTATGGTTGTGGCAGGGAATCAGGAGGTGCCAGAAATGGGACTGGTTTCCAGAACAGGGAAAGGAAGGGGGCAGAGAGAGGAGGGATGCCATATTCACTGTCACCACTGGGGGCAGCAAGTGTGGGGGCAGTGATGCAGCAGAGTGACCACTGGGGGGAGCCGCACGAGAAACAAACTGGCCAGTTGGGGATGAGGCTTTATAATGGAGCAAGTAAGTAGCCTCCCTGACCCAAAACAGTGCCAGCGGGAGGCCCCTCACAGACTGACCTTCCACTCCCCTCCCCCTGGCCCTTGCTCCTACTCCAATTGGAAGAACATAGACTCCAGGACTCACAAAGAGGTTACCAACCCCCTGCACAGGCTGGACTCACGTCTCAGGGGTTGGTGGAAGTCAGACCCGTAAATCCGATCAGTGGCCGGGGAAGAAGGACACAAACTATTCCCCTGTGGGGTCAGAACCGGCCCCTCCTGGGTTCCAGCAGAGACATTTCCTACAGAGCAACAAGGATGACGCAACCGTTTTTATGCCGTCGACAACAACGTTTCCCTCCTGAGCTGGTGTCAGTGTCCCTGGCACACAGGAGACCGTCCCTGCACCACGCCGGGGGCCGTTTGGCACGTCAAGATGCCCCGTCATTGTCAGTGAGATTCTCATCTCCCAGCTCTGTGGCTGCCTCACCCTGAGCACTAACAGGCGCGTCTCACGGCCTATTGGCCAAGAGGCAGGGCAGGGAAGGTGAAAGGTCCATTGGCCAAGAGGCAGGGCAGGGAAGGTCCAAAAGTCTTTGGGTCATCCCATCTGGCCTGCTCTGGGTCACATCATGTTAACTCTCCTCACACAGGCCTGAGGACTATTTCAGCCTGGACAGAAAAGAGAAACGTCCTTAGTGGGCCGAGTCATGGAGCAATGGGAAGGGGGCAGGCCTGGGAGGCGGAATGGACCATATCATGCAACACTGAGAAACCAACATGAAAGGCAATAAAGAACAGTTTGTGCAACATAAAAACTCTGTGTG